GCAGTTAAATGCGACATACACTTTAATGCACCAGTAGAAATACTCACCATATATAATAGTTTTTAAAAAAGTATTTTCACCATGTGGTATTTGTACATTAACTAAAGATCTTAAAGATCTGAATACTTCTTCCATCCCTGAAATCTGCTGCAACTCTCTGTGTGTATGTCACTTTTCTTTCTGTATATATGTGAAAAATAATGTGTGTTTTTACCATTTATGAGCCACAGAATTTGCTTGGAATGTGAGAATCCTTTCAGAGAAATCTGACAATAAATACTAATCTAATTCTTAATTAATGAATGTTGAAGCTACTGGACTGATGTAGTGAAACAGTCTATTGTCATTTACAGGCTGCTGAGAGACAGTTAACCTTCTTCAGAGTGCAGCATAACAGAAAAGCAGTTGTTTATTCTAAACTGAAATTACTTCTGTAAATGTTCTTGTGAAACTTGTGAAGAAGTAATAGAAATATATCTTCAAGCAAATACATTTTGGGGGTGTTTTTGCCTTTATCTGATTGTAGAGAGACAGAAAACGTGGTGCGACATGCAACAAAGGTCCCCAGCTTTCCAACTGAACCCGAGGATGTCGCAGTTATGTAATGCGCAGTAACCATTAACCTATTGGTCCGAGCTTTATAATGTCAAAACTTGTGCATTAAGGTTTATTTTAGAGTCCTGTGGCTGAACATTTCTTTAAGATTATACTGAACACACAGCATAATATAGTGCTAAATGTATGGATACTAAGCCTGAATGTACTGTGGTGCATCAGTAAATAAACGTTTAGAAATGCAATGACATTGACAATAGATTTTTACTTGAGGGAGTTTGCAGGGAAGCTATCTAATTGAACGTATAGCTGACATCAGAATTTGCTTTATAATCTGTATTTTGTATCAATGAGCAACACGGGGAGTTCAGCCTAATTCTGTCTAATTCTGACAGTAATTTGATTGAATGATTGGGTCAAATTAATTATTAACAGGAATGAAGTCCTACAGAAACAGTTATTTCTGCATACATGTATGTAGGTGCTGCGGGACTGTGCAGCAGTTTTTCCACTGTATAACCAACGTCATCGTTTAACACACCAAATCAACTTTATGTAAATGGCAACATTACAGTAACAGCATGCTTATACATGAACTGCGTCCTGTCTGCTGCTGAACCATGATGCAGTTTTCCTATGACAAAATTAATTCTGCTTAGTTTGTAGTTCTTAGGAATAGTACATAAACATGACTTGACATTTGCAACCTATTCCAACGTGACAGCCCTGCTCGTGTTTAAATCTAAGCCAACTGGAACAAAGTAGAAATAAAAGAAACTATTTTTCCATTCTGATGAAGCGATTATGCAGCAGCCTACAAACAATACAGTAACACACACAAATCACATAGCCATTGATGTGTACGAATGACTGAGGTGAACTGGTGAGTGGGAGAGACAGAAAATAACTTTTCTGTCTTCATCTACTGTTTCGCAACTCTGAGGTTTCAAATAAGCTTGGATGAAGTTCCTTTCATAACAGACAAACAGTTTTCAGTTCATTGAGCACTGAATGTCACTTGTCTCTGCTTCTCAACCTCTTTTCCACTGACATTTTGTTTATTTCTGAAACATCAGTCGCAGACACTAACACATACAGTACAAACTCTGTACCTTCCTGTCTTGGTCTACAGACATCCTCCTGTGTTTCGATTACCTGCTTCAGTTAAATCACACAGTATTCGTCTAACTTGAAATGGTTATAAAACACACACACACACACACACACACACACAAAGAGACAGAAAACAGAGATTGCATGGTGAGGGAAACCCTCTGTAGGAGAGAATGGAGGATGAGGAATATATGAAAAAAGTGAATCACTCTTCATTCTTGCTTGTAGCCCACACTTTCTGTCTTTTTCTCTTTCAGTAATGACACAATGTGGTACACACGCCCTCGTTAGGTGTGTGAGTAATGAGGGAGTCCTCACTTTCAGGTGTTTTCCACCAAAATCACAGAAAAGCATCCACTGAGAAAGAAAACCTTATCACATTTGGACCTGTTCTTTGTGACAGATTTATATCCAGATGTCCTTTAAGACAATATTCATGTTTACGCAAGAGGCCTGGAAGTGAATGTTTCTATATTGTAGCCATAACTTGAAGGGTATGTTCAGAGGAGCAAACAAAAGGCTTGTATCATTTTGAGCTCAGAGGGTACAGAAGCAGGTGTGAGCCCTTCATGAAGGCAGTACAGAGGCAGACAAACCTCAGAGAGACACATGAGACATGTGTGAGATGTTTGTTTTGTCCTTGTTGTGGTTCATGTCTCTAAACCACCTCGGCAGCGTGCTTCTGCAGTTCTAGTCCCTTAACTGATCCCTCTAGCTGTAATTAGTTAGCTTGGGACGACCTTGACAGATCACCTCATTATTGTATTAATTTCTGTTGTGTTGTGATGCCTTATAACAGTTTCAGTGTAGTACAAGAATAAATGATCCTCAAATGAACCTTAAAGCTTCACACCGTCAAGCTAATCTGTATTTTAAAGACTTTGCCCTCTCTGCTTTTGACCAACTGCCTGTCATTCAACAATTCAACAATGTCATTCAACATTTTGGGTATTAATGAATAGCTTTTTATGTGGTTATCTGGTTTTGCTGAAAAGAAACAAACAACAATAAACTCATGCTGGCTGTGGCTACCATTAGAGTTTAATTTACTTTTTCAGAAACTGTCAAACCTTACATTGGTTTGCAATGTATAAATGTTTATTTTCAGTATTTACTCCCATAATAATACCAATTATCAGTGCAGTTGTAAAGTGATATTGTAACAGTCACATTCCTTGCAGTCGTATATTACTTCAATAAGGATCGCAAGTTAGAGGCAAACTCAGTCAATAGTAAGAATAGACAGAGAGCCACAGATGTTATATTACTGTTGTATTGAGTGCAGACGCGACTCTACAGCAGGTTATAAGTAAAGATAAGCACAAACAGATGTCTGGCTCCCGCACAGGTGTACATTTACCCAATAAGTATAACAAGAATTACTATGTTGAGCAGAGTGCAATCTGAAGCTTACCCTGCTGACTGACAAATGTTTGTCTTCATATCCCCCAAACAGACAAATTAAATCTAAAATTAAACACTGATTTAACATTGAACAAGACTGGAAGCCTGTGTGTAAAATAAACTGTGTAGCGCTGCGACAAGCTAATCTTTGTCTAATCTTACAAAAAAAAATACAAAGAAATGTTAAAGAGTTTGTGCGGGGTCCACCAAAAGCGGCACTACAAGATGCAGTGAGTGCAGGACTTTATTTAGTTATCTTTAGTTAATTAGTTATATTAATTAGTATAATTTATCTCAGGACAAATGTTTGTTATCACGGAGACGAAACCTGCAATTTCCATTCATGGGTTTGTTTGTTAAATCCCCCTGCTGCTCTCATTTACTTGGTTAATTCTGATCAACTTGTATTATTATCATTGAACACTAATTCATTAATCGAAGCAGAAAAAAAAGAACTATATTAGATAAAAAACTCTTCCACCTCTACAGCGTTTGTTTGGCGGGTCTATTGTGAACAAACCGTGCGGACGATAGTTTTGTTCAAACCCCCAGACCTTTATTTTAATTCCATTGAAGTTATTTTTACTACCAAACATTCAAACATGGCTTTATGAATTACAAGGAAATATGTTTTAAAATGATGCACACGTTTGGTGCAGCCAAAGATCAATGTGTTTGATTTAAACGTTTAACTCCATATGTCGTATGTCATACAGTGGAGCGCTGTTACAAGCAGATACACACTTTTTTTGCCAGGTTATGAAACAGTGAAGGAAAAAATTATGTAACTTTAAAGTTACTGAAGGGGGAATTTCAGAAAAAACACTGTTATTGTTTCTTACTTTGCTTGATATTCAGTTTTTTTTACATACGTCAGAGCAGTTAGACTCAAACATTTTGACAGGAAAGATTCAAAGTGTTTTTGTTTGTTAGACAAGAGACAAATTTCCCTGTAGACTTCAAACTGTTTCCACCATTCCAACATCCATTTATCTTGTTTAACTTGAAGACAAACTATATTGATGTGCATAGCTCTTAGTGCTAAAACACAACAGGATTACTTCTTGAAGATACAGCATCTCAAGACTTTATCGTTCTTAAGTGATGTTATAATGTGACTGAAATAAATAAAGTTAAGAGTGATGGCAGGTCAGTGTGTAAAAATGAACACAGGGACTGGTCTTGTGTGTGTGACAGGGGGATGTTATAGAGGAGAGGATGAAATACGTTGACGGTTGTATTTTCTACTGTATTTATTTAAGCCTATGTAACCTATATTAAACTCACACGATCACGCCTCTCTGTACAGCCGTTCCCAAAAGAATTGATTTTACCCTCACGCACTTTATCTGAGTGTTTCTTTTTAGGAAACGATGCATTTTTAATTTGCATTTATCAAACAGTTTTGTGAAGATTGGTCCAGCAGTTCATGGCTTGAATTCAGATGCACTAATTATGTATCTAAGTCAGTACAATTATATGACCGGGGGAAAATCAACTGAGCAATTATAATAAATTAGGCCGTAAGCCGCCCGTGTGCTATTTAGAACGTGCTAAGGATAGATAATGAGTCCGGTGAGACCCTTAACAAATTTTGGGACTTCTGTTATCAGGCAGCAACTCAAATAACAATTTCAGCCAATTAAGATTAGTTGTTTATTTGTTTTTCTATTGGACAGATTAAAAAGCAAAAAGAAACAAAGAAAATCATGAGTACCTTAGTTACTGATTAAAATATGGCACCATTATCCTGCATAAATGATTGGTTTTGTTTTTATCTAATGTTACAATGAGCTTACGATATTTTTTGGATGATTAGTTCTAAAAAGAATCATGGGTATGAGTTCTTGCCCTCTTCCTCTGTAACAACCAATCAAAGGTCATTATTCTGATTTTGAGTTTGATCATCGACTGTGTGCTTTGTCTTCCAGACCAATCGTTGGCGAGGGAGGTGCAACGGCACTTAAAAAGAAGGTTTGTTTGATAAATATTCAACATTTGCACCCGACTCCAGATCACTGAACACAGAGGGACACTCTGCACTCAGCAACTGTTGTAAGTATACTGTAATCTGTTTTTAATTTCAAGCTCAATATACACATACTTTAAAATATAAAAACATTTACTGCTGTATACATCAAATATCAGTGTCAATTATATTTTTCATACCTAAAACTTATTTTGAATCATAAGCCTGGAAGAGCTCAGCAGGCCGATTGTCATATAGTGAATTTTATGTATTTATCTAATTACAGCTACAAGACAAGATGTGTTATTCAAAAGCACATACTGATCATTTAGATAAAACTGAAAGAAATACTAAAATATTAAACACATGAAATAGGCTTTATATAATATTATCATTACACTTTAAATCATTTTGACGTCTTTGTTGTATTTCTTCTTTTGTATTTCGTGGTTTGTTGAAATTCACAAGTAGTTAAACATTAGGCAGGTGACCGGTACAAAATGGACTCCCGCTATACACACAGTTTATAAAGGTAAAATTATTTTATGAGGAGAATTTTATACTAGTGGATTTATTTTACATGGACCTTTAAATACAACTTGACAATCTGAGCAAAATATGTTGAGTTATTTAAGTTTTCCGTAAAGTATAAATGGGGTCAAACTATTTTGTTTCCTGCTTAAACTGCATTTAAAATTAAAAAGTACAATGTTAAATTCAGCCCAAAACAAGAATTTAAATAAATTTTTAAGTCAGTGAATTATACTATAATGCTGCCTGTCATTTTCCCTTTTGCTGCTCTCTCTCCTCCCCTCCGCCACTGTGTTTGACCCTCACCCTCCCCTCCCCCTCCATGTCTGCTTGTTGTTGAAGCTCCATCCTGACTACAGACACATTTCGCCTCGGTTTTTCTGGGTTATAGCTCCACAGGTGTGATGACTTTGAGCATCTGTTTACCACAATTTCACTCTGTCTCTGGTTTCCATTTTTACTTATTTTTTTTCTCTCTGATCTCAAACATAATAAATAATGCAACATTATTTATTTTCTATCAAATCTCAACTGGAAGGTTTTAAATGTATAGCATATTCACACACATGTACATCCCTTCTGATCTTTTATAGATACAATCATAAACCATTTGCTTTGCACACACATTGCCTCAGATTTTAATGTTTAATGTTCTTTTCTTGAGGTAACTGACTACCTGGTCTGTCAGTGCGAATGATGAGTTATTTAGAAACATTATTATTATTTTTTTTTTGTGGTTATTCTTGTACTTGTCAACCAGGTACCTCCATTTTCTCACATTTCAACAGGACCCAGAAGTTTGTCAATATGTTGGGATTATTGTTGGTGTAAGAACAATAAAAATAACTTTATGACCTGAATACGTTTAAAATATTTATCCTGATACTTTTATTTAGAGGGCTATAACTCCATTCAGTATGACACTGCGTGTCATTTGTGAGCAGATTGCCTCTGATGGTGAGATAAAGAGAGTTTTAGAGACATTTTGGGGAATTTTGTGCATTAATTGAAGAGCGGACAGTAGAGAGATGACAGGAAATGAAGGAGGAGTGATATGTGACAAAGATCTCCAACCGGACGCAACCCAGGGACATTGCGTTTATAGTTCCCGCCTTAACCCCTAGATCACCAGGGTGCTTAAATATTAATATTTAATACCACCTAGTATGAGCCTTAATAGATACATATTATTGTAATAGGTTCAAAGGGAAAATTACACTAATGGAAGTGAATTAGTACAGCAAATGATCTAATTATGTTGCAAATGTAACTCAAGTTTGACTGTTATTTTCCTATTTTTATTAGCTTATATTGTTTTGTTAGTTCTTATAATTTTAGTTAAGGCGAGTACAAATGCTCCAAAAGAACCAGGTGCCAACGCTCATCGCATCTACTCACCTACGTATGCAGAATAATGCATTTAATCTTGAGGCAAAACACCTAATGAACATTAATAAGCATTTTGCATTGATTTTGATGAAGATTTTACTAGATCTCAATGTCAAATACTGACAAATAATTCTCTGATCTTAGAGTTTAGTCTCTTGCGCTCACCTTTGGCCTTCAGCGAGACTCAAAGTTATAAAACAGCTTTTTCTTTATCATAGGAAATTGTCTGGTCTCTATGGCTATATTCACAATCTTTTAATTAATTCCAAATAGTATTAATTTATGTTTTGGATGTATTTTGAACTTAGGGGTTTAATTCAAACATAGATCTGATACATATCTTTCATCTTTTCTTTTAAAGGCTCCAAACAATATAAAAGCAACAATAAAAGTCTTTGAAAAGATTTTTTTGTGCACAATCATGACATACTGTATACACTATAGAGACAGAAGTGGAGGGGAGGGTACAGAGATAAGGGAGTGAGGCAGGTAGAAAGAAGACAGAAGCATCTACCTTAAACCACAGTCTAAGTGTGCTGCTGGTGCTGTGGTCTCTTTTTTTTCTCTTTTTAAGCGTGGAGAGATCCGTCTTTCGTGGAACAGGGGAGGAAGAGAGGGGGTGTGAGAGGCAGAGGGGGAGGAATGGGATAAGAATCTGCACCTTAACTAAATCAAGGCCCACCACAACGCAGCGTATGCTCTGTGTCTCTGCCCTCCAACATTTGTCTGTTTCTTCTCATCCAAAACCCACCGCAGGCCGCCTACTCTCAGCTCTCTCAACTCTTTGTGTTTTATCCTTTTCAAATCTCTTCAAATCTGAGACCACCACAAACCCCTCTTTGCTTCCTGCTGAATGATTTCTCTTTGCAGCAAAATTTGATATACAAACAAAATTATATGATAAAGTAAAGACGTCTCTACAACGTTAAAAACACTACTTTTGTTTTTAACTAATTGTTCAAACTGAATCCTCTGGTGTTTATTATCATACAGAATTGATACAAATATGTATTTTTCTAAATAACTGTTTTTCAGACATGTAACAGAGATGAAGAACTTTATTCAATCCGTCCTCATTCTCATCGCTGTGGTCATGTCAGCAGCACGTAAGACAAACTGATTGCAGATATAGAATAATTTACAGTTTGGTTTGGTTTTGTGCACCAACACATAACACCGTTCTCACTCTTTTAGAGGAAGACCTGATATATGCTCAGGAGGGACAGACGGTTACCCTGAAACCTCCAGCAGGGACTAATCCACAAACACATTATTCCTACTGGGAGTTCAATGAGAAGCAAGTTGCCTGGCGTAATCCCTTTGCTGGAAAGGCGGTCGAAGGTGAGCAGTACAGTGAGCTATTCACGGATATAACATGTTTGTACCATCATGTATCTAATTATATAACGTCTAAATTGTAGATAAAGGTACTTTTGATGGTAACACATTTAATTGTCTCCTTGCAGATCATAAAGATTCATTGCTCTTGACTGAAGACTCAGCACTGGTCATCAAAGGCATCAAACAAAATCTCTTCGGGACTTTTACCTGTAACATTTTTAAGAATGGGATTCGTGACAAACCCCAGGCCACGATCACATATAAAATACTCAAACTCAGTGGTAAGAACGTACACAGTACTCACCCTGGTACATTTTCATTTGACAAGGGTACTTTATGTAGTTGTCAACATAATCTATAGGCAGGTACATTTTGGTTGTAAATTTGTTTCTGTTCTAGTGACTATGGACCCATCCTCTCCTTTGCTGCCTGGGGAAGATCTGTCTCTGAACTGCAACGCAGAGAGTCCTAAGAATTACAAGCCACGGATACACTGGCTGAATCCCCAGGGACAGGAAATAAACAGACAAAGTATTCAAAAGGAAGCCACGGGCAAAGACAAGGGAGAGTGGACCTGTGTGGTGACATATTCTAATAAAGAAAGCGAAGCCAAAATTTCTGTCACGCTTGTGGGTGAGTTACTGTATATGTGCATGTATGCGTTTGTTTTAAAGTAGTGTACTGTCATCTTAAAGATAAGTTTACCATATTTCTCTTTTCCATTTAGACCTCTCCACAGCTCATTCCAATATTCAATATACGTCTAAATCCTCGTCTCTCACCATCCCCTGTTCCACTACCACCTCCTGGGACATACTCAAAGCTAGGGACATTGAGGGAGGAAAGTGGGAATTCTTCGCTAAGCCGGGCTCGAGTCTAAAATCTAATGCTCCACAGACGCTCTTCTCCCTCTCTCTGGATCCACTGAAGTGGACGCCAGTCCAAGACAATGGACTGAATTATGACCCTAAACTTCAAAATGGAATTCTGTCTTTGAAGAGAAATCAAGGGAAAGATGGAGACAGTGGAGACTATGTATGCTCTCTCACATTTAAAAATGATGTAACTCTGAACAGGACAGTAACAGTACATGTGCTGCAAAGTAAGTCAAAACAAATTGTTTTGTACAAGAGCTGGCTCTGTGTTGCACTCAGATCTGTCATATGAAATTATGTTTCCTCGTTCTTTAGCTATCACAGTGTCCTCATTTATTTTTTTGATGTCCAGTTTCTTTGCTCCTTCCTAATTGTCATTCATAACAAGCTGGAGACAGTCGTGTCTTTCCCACCTCTCTGCTTCTGCTCTGTTGTAAGGGTTTTCATCTCTCTGCTGCAGAGTTTATTTGCAAGTGTCCCTGGTGTGGCATGTGTCTAATTCACTGGCTAATACACTTGTCTAGTTCCACTTGTTTTAATAGAGTATAATGAGCTCTCCCTCTGCCAGACGAGTGTGATAACACAATGTATTTTAATTGGACTCATGGTGTAAAAATAAGATTTCTCCTTTTTGTCTGAACTATTATTTAACCAGGAACACAGAAAGTCCACTGATCTCATGGATTAGTTCAAGGCAGGGGTGTATCTAGCAAATCTGGGACCCCTGGTATGCTTTTGAACCCAGTCTCCAACTTTGCCCACCTGGAATAACCACCATCTTTCAACAAGCTAAATTTAATTTAGCATGTATTTAAAATACTGTCTGTTTATTAATTACAGTGCTGTGAGTGAGTGCTTGTCTGCTTCCTTGTTTACTGGTGTTCAAGCCAGCTAGATGAAATTAACAAGTTAAACCCACTGAGAACCATTGCCTTTTAAGTTTAAGACCACAGTTTTATACTGGTTATTGATAGTTAGGTAAAGATAAAACATATAGTAGCATTTAGTTGGCGTTACTTTGTAGTTAGATGTAATCATATGACAGGCCTTAGTGTATTAGGCATCAGGGATTGAGGTTGTTCAAAAAGTTTGTCTTTTAAATTTAAATTTCTTATCTCAACTTTTGAATCTTAGTATTGTACGTAATACTATACTAGAGGTTAACCATCATCCAGTGAGATCCCATATCACAAAACTAAATCAAATGAAATCTATTGATATCTGGATTGCGCCGTGTAACTTTCTTTACGGCTACAGTTAATGATTGTTTTCATTATATTTTCTCGATTGATCGATAACTCGTTTTGTCCATAAGATGTTGGATGATAGTGAGGAATGCCAGTTATAGTTTCCTGGAGACCTGCTCAGCAAATATAAAATTTATTATCATAGAAGTCTAATGAGACTAGCAAGTATTCACATTTGAGGGATTGAAGGCAGAGAGCTTAGATATGACGTTAATAATTAATCATATTTGCAGATTGATTTATTGTTTCAGCTTTCATTTTCTTTAGGGTACAGTATATCATGTATCGCTGGCTAATGCTGTTTATTTTCATGTTTATTATTTTGTTGTTAATGCAGTGCAGTTTTGATTTTGATGCCATCATGTAATGCTATGTTTTAAGTCTTATTTGAAAGCATTTATTTATTTTTTATTTGGCAAGTGTTACTGGCACACTGCAGCAACAGAAGCCCTCGACTCAGTCGGATTTAGAGATTAAATGTAGAGAAAATGAGAGGTTTTCTCAGTTTACAACACTAGATTTTACCAGACAACCTTTCTCCTGCATTTCATGTTCACTGTGATAAATATTTTTTTTTCTTTCTTTCTGTTCATTCTCTCTCCAGTCACCTCCTCCCCGGGAATAGAGATAATTTCAGGCCAACAGGTCAACCTGACTTGTGGTTTGGGCAGTCCGCTGCCCTCTGACCTGCAGCTGAAATGGTTCCCACCTGGACAAACGTCCCTGCCGTCTCTGCAATCTGACCAACACCCCGCCCATCTCATCATCCCGGAAGTGGGTATGGGAGATAGCGGAAAGTGGAGGTGTGACCTGTTGCGGAACAGAACACGGCTTACGTCAGCTGTGATAACGCTGAAGATCGGTGAGCACAGGAAGCGAGAGGGGAGCAGGAAATATGATAAGGGCATGACCTTGTGGCCACAATCTTCTTTAGAACAAACTTGGTTTTACATGATGTGTTCTCCTGTACTGTATACTGTTTGATGACTGTCTGTTTCTGTTGTATACAGAGCCCAAGATTACTGTGTGGATGATAGTGCTCATATGCAGTGTCACAGTCATCGCAATCCTCCTCCTCTTCGTCGTTTTCATCCTCTACCGACGCAGACAAGTACATTTAAATCATTCCTATTCTTTTTCTGTTAGATCACAGTGGATTATTAGTATGACATTAAGAGTTATCTCTCTTTCTCTTTCTCTCTTTCTCTCTCTCTCTCTGTGGCTGACATTAGCGGAAGATGACACACCTCAGGCATCGACTCTGCCGATGCAAAAAGTATGTACAACCCATTTCCTGGCTTGATGAAATGGCTCCAAACACACATTCACACTCATCAGCACTCAAATCTAAATTCAACTTTTAGCCATGAGGTGTTTTTTGTAGATAAAATAAACATATTAATTTTGCTTTTTGTAGCTCTGTGTCTCTTTTCACAACTCAAACAGAAACCTGTGACTTTCTGTTTCAGCCCCCAGCCCAAAGGATTCTACAGATCATAATAACTCCCAGAAAGACATTTTGAAGAGGACTCGCAACCAATTGAATTTCTATCCAGATAAGATGGATTTTTCTGTAATGTCTACTACACTGTGATCCTCTGCTAGGTGTGTTAGATGAGGCTCTGAAAGTTTAACACAAAGTTCCATCAATGCTGAAATTTTCACAAAAATGTATTTTACAGTTGTACATATCTTTGGATTGTTTTATATTTGTAAAATGTAATCGATTTCTTCCAGACTTCACATTTTAATTATTATTGTTTGTGATTATTACTGTTAATAATTGTTATACTCTCTTTCATTCATTGTTCTCAGATCTGTCTTTTTGTTGTGCTATGTTATGTATTTTTATGCTGTTCTATAATACTGCCTTGATAGACTTGGTTAATGGTTTTAATGAATATTTACAAATATATAATTTTAAGAATGTGCAAAATACTGTATTACATAAATAAAAAAATGACTCTTTTGTCTAGAAATTGTTTATTTGTAGATTGACCACTAACATTTTTCAATAAAGAATCAATAACTTTCATAATGGTGGTGGTCCTGTGGTGGTGTAGAGGGGTTCACACGAGCGAGATGGCGTCCATCTGACAGATCCGGGGATAGGAGAAGGAACAGGGAACATCAAACCAGTTCTGATAGAAGCTGTCCACCACTGCACAGTCCTCCCCCTCCGCCCCACCGGACAGGTTGTTGTCTGGCTCTGATTTCTGCACATTCCAAAATCTACACGTGGGCAGACAGATAGAAATCAGTGTTTGTGATTGTCTCAGTGAGGTTAGATTCTTAACTTAATATCTGAGTGAAACAGCATTTAAGCACGTAACTGGAGCTTTGCCTGAAGTACGTGCATAATTCAATGTAACTATTTTAATAGGTATCTCTTTAGGGGGCATGAGCTGAGTAATGACTGATGCAATGAACATAATATTTGCAAACTATGTAGTGTTCAATCAGAAACTATATTACATAGGAGGGATCAGACCTTTTCTAGGCACCAAATTTATCTGCATGCTACTAGTATGGATCTCTTCACTTTTCATTTAGTGCAATCATCAGGTCAAAATTACAATTTCAATGTTCAGCACTTTGGTTTATGTGTAAATACCTGAAAAAATCTTATGACATTCCCATCAGAATTAGCTGTAATTTGTATTTACTGTCAATTAGCAAATAGTTAGCATGCTAATATGCTAAAGTAAGATGGTGACTAATGATGAACAGTATATATCTGCTAAACATCACCATTTTATTATATTTTTAGCTTTCAGCTAAAAGCACTGCTGTACAGTCTCACAGAGGTGTTAGCATGGCTTCGTCTTGCTCTGAGTATTATTGATAAGCAGCAGCGGTGTTTACAGTGGCCAGTGAAATATTCAAGGTCTGTAAAAACACACTGACAAGAATAAGTTCAGCATACGTTTCTGCTCTACACCACATCTGCATAACAAGGTCGACTTGCATACTCTTTAAGGTCTTGGCAAACTCAGTGAACCTGTCTAGGTTGTATTTGCCAATTTTGATCCTCAGGTCTGGCTGGATTTCAGAGGTTTCCAAAATAGTACCCATTGTAATTCTATCCTCTAACACAAGCACACGCACAAATTAAATCTTGTGTAGGTGTGACGCTGTATGCTGTGAGACCTAAACAAAAGACGAGGGCAACATTACAGCTATGACACGTCTTCAACACCAAGGTCTCCATTGTAAGTATGTTTATCCTTCAACCCGAGGTCTGCAGTATTTCTAGTCATTGGATCTTTATTAGGGTGCTAGCATTTAAATTCATGGACATCAGCCATGCTAGTGTGTGTGTGCTTTTTTTGATTTGTGTCTTCCTTTTCCCTGTTTCCAAGAACATGATAATATTTAGCACAACCAGTCCTCTTCCTTTTCCTAGTACTTACACTATATTGTCTTTGCTATTAATATTATTATTATTATTATTATTATTATTATTATGAGAAGAGTTTTTTCATTTTAGTCACTTCATACTTACGGATTTTTAAGGTCTGACTTGTCCACCCATTTCCATTCTCCTTCACTCTCAATGTCACTCAGTCCAATCCAGTAGTTTGTGTATAACCCTCCGATCCTTCTGCCTTCTTTTTCCACGGCTTCCTAAAAATGTATTGTATCCAAATGTATTTGTTTTATATATATATATATATATATATATATATATATATTCAAATACAGAAAAATCATCAATCACACACAGAAACACTTACATGCTGTTCTCTGGTGGTCAAGATGGCAAGATGGCCACCTATCTCTTTACACTTATCTATACTATCATTCCAGTTCTGCCTGTCGGTGCTGAGGAAGAAGCATTGGTCCCCTACATGAAGCCACTTGTTGGGACACTTGCAGTTGATCACTATGGGAGAGTGCATGTGTTACTTAAACAAACAGGAAAAGTTACAACTGGACAATATATATATGGTAATATATATCACCACCTTAAATCTTTCCGTATTTTTGGGCATTTAATCCAGTGTATGGTTTACAGGAAACTGTAGAACATTGCAGAATAACACACATGCATAAATGACAACTATCACCCATCTGTTGGATGAGAAAAGTACCTGGAGCTGAGCAGTTGAGTGTAAGGTTTGAGAAATGCTCGCACATCTGTCTGTAGTTATTCTTCCAAAGGTCTATCCTCAGCTTTAGAAAGAGCACCTCTTCCTCTAGATTGTCTGCAGCCTGAGAGGAGGCTTCAGAAACCAACAGGCCGATGAAAACACAGAGGATGGCGTGGCCTCTGATGCCTGAAGAGACAGATAGCAGATACAGCATTAAGGTACATGCAAACAGACCCACATACACAGACATCACTTGTGCGGACTGCATAAAGGCGCTCTTACCTGTCTTTTTGATGAGGTTCATTGTGTCTTGTCAGCTGGTAGAATATCACAAACTTTGGCTTCTTCTTTCTGCTCTCTGGGTGTTTTATAGAGCAGTTTGTGTATTAAAGAGAATGGGACGGAAAGTACAGATTGCACAAATCCACCAGACAGATTGGAATGTCATCAAAGCATGTAAACTCAGATGGCACAATATCTTGTAGCCAAACTATTGAAGGCTTGCCATATTGGTTTAAATAAACAAGAATCTGATGCTGGAGGTCTGGCATGCAGAATGGGCATTATTTACCGTTACCTGAACAATGGTCAGTCCCTCTCTTCTACGTTTTTTTTTATTAATTGGCAAAGGCCTAAAAGTATGACTCAGCATTTGCACTGTGCGTGTGTGTGTGTGTGTGTTGAGAGTTATTTGTATTCTCTTCGTTAGTAGAGCAGCTGCAACAATATCACCTCTACACCACACATACTCACACACACCAGATGCCCACTGTGTTGCTCCAACAGACTGTCAAAAAAATGTTTTGGTATATGTCCCATTTATTATTTTATTCTTGGCACGTTATTCCCACAGCCATTGTCAGCTCTTGTACTTCATGAGGTTTTGTTTTTCAAACCAAACTAATTAAAGCAGAGGAGGAGTATTTAGTGTTTATCTCTGTGTCCATTTCACTGCTGAGCTAAAGTTTGTGGTTGCACATTCTTATCGTCTGGATCTGTGTACTTTCTGATTCAGAGCTTGGCCCTTCTTTCTTAACAACACACACAGCTCACACACAGCTCCCAGCTGCTTTCCCGTTGCAACCTTGACGCAGTTCCAATTTCAGTTTTTTAATTAGTGTCAGGAAGTTGAAGGTACTTGCTGTTTTTTCCCCCCAACTATTTCTAAAAACTCTCTTTTCCCGTTCTGACTCACACGCCCACATAATTTGCTGTGTCATCTATCACACATCTGTCATGTCCAGAATCTGTTCTTCTCTCTAAATGGAAAAATAAAATTACCAGTATTATGAAATACAGGAGTTAACAGTGAAACAGAAAAACACCACACGCAGCCAAAAAAATGAGGAAATAACCTCCCAGTTTGGATTAAGAGTCTCCTCTTTTTTAGGAAAACAACAAAATGCTGAAGTTCTTTAGTTGTAAGTACAGGATAGTTTAAGGGAACACTGCTTCTCTGAGCACATTTGTTACAGCACTGCAGCAGTGTTGTAGGCAGGGGGACGTGCCTCGATAAATCAACCAGCAGGGACAGATTTAATTTCAAGGAGAAATATTGCTGCTTGGGAGAGGAGATACCGAAGCCTTTAGGGACCAGAGGAGGTACAGTACAGTGCGAAGGGAGAAAGAGTGAGAAAGAGTGCTAACAAGGGCATCACAGCCATGGAGGAAAACTACACCAGCCTGCAGGAGCTCACAGACCAACCCACACCTGGAGGGAACAGGCCTTTTATTGAACAGAGTAACGGTATGAGCATAAATGTGGCAGATATTGATCATTTTAATTGTGGAACATATCTACATGTAAAGTAAGTAGTCCTATAGTTACTCAGGTGACATAGTTTTCTTCTTTGTAATGTGACCATTACTTCATTTAAGAGTGGAAAAGTTTTATTTAAAAAGGGAGATTATTTTATCCTGAGTCTGATGAAGGTGAAATGAAACAAGTCAACTAAGATTGGTTTATTCACACATGTGGTCAGACCCAAAGTAAAATAAAATGAGGTTTGGATCCTAGGGCACGCCCCCATTTATAACAAATGGGCTCAGAGAGAACAAATGGAGGCTTGTCCAGGATCCAAACCTAAGGATTAAATCCAGCCTTAGTGTGGCAAATAAGAAATTGCTGCTTATAAGAAGAGTAGATTTAGGCGCCTTTGATATTTAGTATTGTGAGATTTTATCAACTTTTTAATAACTGTACTGAAAGATCCCCTCCAGAAAGGCATTGAGACATACACAAATAGTGTGCTTGGAACAATTATGCGTATATCATTTGTCACAAAAGTATAATTTCCACATTAAAAAATATATTAAAAAAATACTCTGATTTTACATAAATAAAATGTTATCAATTTTTGAAATATAATGCATTAATTATAAATGAAACTCCCAGAACTATATGACATAGTTGTAAAAAGCTCTAGCTGAATGAATAAGATACACATTTATGCATCAGTAATGATGAAAAAGTAAATTTTCTTTCGTTAGTTAAAGTACATTTGGTTGATAATATTTCTGAACATTAAATTAGGCTTGAGTTTTGAATGCAGGACTTTTACTTGTAATGGCATTGTTACTTTTACCTAATCTCTGATTTATTTGCCACTGCTACTGAATCGGTCTTCATTATGTATTTTTGTGTCTGTGTGGATAAAGAGACACCAATAAACAGAGTATACACTTGACCTAACTTTCAGCAGACGTGCAAGTATTATCTTTTGGGATTAGTAAATATTATGAAGCTAAATTCTGGTCAAATGTTTTCACTCTACAATTTCCTTTTACTCAAAGTCTGCACTTTTAACTACACCAGAGGATTAAAAATGGTGAATTGACGGCAACCATGCTGAGGACTGTTTTGTGTCTAATCAGACTCCCGGGGACTGAGGCGGGGCATTGAGTGTTTGAGGGGTCAGACGGCTCTCCTGATGGTTATTGCCTTTTTGGCCTCCATCTGCGCCAACATCGTACTCACTGTCCTGTGTAAGTGTAAACACTGTCTTGCAACCTCCTGTGTTCCCTGCCCTCCAGTCTGAGTATGTATATCTGCCCGTCTGTCTCTCTGTCTCACTCTATTCCTCACTTGCGCTGATTATTCTCTCTTTATTACAGCTCAGTGTGCTTTTGGACACCTATAATTGGCAATAAAAAAGATAAAGCGCTCTCTCCAGTCCAGTGAGGGTCATGTAATAGAAAAAGCACAAAAGTCCATAATTGTGAAATATTTCTCCTGCAGGGCCAACAGTCTCTGGCAGCTCAGCCTGATAATGTGCTTGTGAGGACACTCTCTCATTTAAAACAAACACCACTGGGGCTGTACGTGCTTGATCTATTACCACCACCACCATCACCACGACTCACACACACACACACACACACACACACACACACACACATTCATACATACAGAGACAGAAGCACAATTTCAGTATCTGAAAGTGATGACTTGCAACAAGAAGGAAATAAAAAGAAACATTTTCGTAACGTAACACTTTCTATGACAACTGGATGCCTGACCCATTAAATTTTACTTTATGAATATGGCATAGAAGATCACATTATGTACTATATCATGATAAATAAGCCACAATACTCCTGTAGGCATTGCTATTGTGGGTCAAGTAAGCTGGTAATATAAATGTTTTCACTTTATTTAGGTTGACTGCTCTTTATTTGCTATTTAATGGCACATTAACTGCACAGTAACCCACATCTACTGTCTGAAAAATGTAACCCATTGTAACAATTAAATCATAAAATATGAATTAGCACAATTTTCATATGGGTTTTTTGTTTATCTACGTGTTTAATCTCACTACAGCACCTGCACCTGTGTTTGCGTCAGCAGGTTTGCCAGGAAATGATAATATGTCACAGTTTATCAAGAAGAACAAACTTTTTGTAATAAGTCAATTCTGATCTTCACTAACCACAGCAAAACATGTCAGACGGGAAGAGGCCTGACTTTCAATTCCTCTGAACCTGACCAGTGACAATACTAATGCTCCTATAATACAAACTAATACATCATCTTTTAGTGAAAGACACATATATATCTTTATTCATGAGTTATATTACATCAATTGCTCTTCTCAGAGAGCATTATTTCTTTCATTAAAGCATTACGAAATATTTTAATAGGCAAAGGGCTTGTGGCAACATAAACAGAGAAAACACAAATGTGGAAAAATATCTGGCAATGAAACCAGAGAAAGTTCATGTTGTAAATGATAATTCTTTACAGCCGCAAGGGAGCTCATATAAACTCAATTATTCCAGCAACAGCAGCAATAAACTCTTACAGAGATTCACAGACTGTACAGAGGAGAATCGTATGTTTGAAGAGGGAGAAATTAGTGGTGTGTGAGAAAATACAACAGTATTCGTTTTCAGTTACGATTTTATGGGTGGAAATGTTGGTCGGCCACTTTTGGCCATACCGAAATATCTCAACATCTATCAAATTATATTCATGTTCCCCAGAGAATAAATCCTAAGCACTTTGGTGATCCCCTGACTTTTTCTCTAGCACATCAGGTTCACATTTTTAGCTTTGAGGTTTTATTAATTACTGGATGGACGGCCTAATCTATCTATCTATCTTCTCAGTGATTGGCAGGTCGGTGCCAGGTGCACCCCAAGACTCCTCAACTCTGGGTTTGAAACTAACCTCAGTGCAGAGACGTTACATCCAGCTGTGTGAGGACTACACCGCCCTGGGGCAGAACTGTTCAAAGACAGGTGGCAGGATGTAGATCAAACCCATACACGACCTTTATTTCCTGCTTTTTCTTTGATTTACTGTTCCCCTCATCCTTTTATCTCGCCCTCACTCTGATTAACAGTTAAGTCATGCAGGCAGTGTCCTGAAGGATGGCTGCATGTCGGAGATCAGTGTTACTACTTCAGCAGTGACAAGCTGGACTGGCTGAAGAGCAGAGACAGCTGTGCAGAGATGGGCAGTCACCTTACCATACTGCACACCATGGAACAGCATGTTAGTGTGTTTCTGTGTGTGTGTGCGTGAACAAGTCTCTTAAACTAAACACACCTTACACAACTTATCAACAAACTTCATGAACAGAAATGAGCACTTTGCCTGTGGAGCCCTGCTGACCAGCACAGGTGTTCCTCATTTCCCTTAATTGGGTCGGTTACTGTGTGCTGTCCGCAGGAGAAACAAACTTAAGACATCAGTGTGTGTGTGTGTGTGTGTGTGTGTGTGTTGTGTGTGTGTGTGTGTGGTGTGTGTGTAAAGCAAGGTCACTTTATTTTGGCTTTATCAGTTTTGCCAAAGCACAAGTTTTAAGAATTGAGAAGTGAACGACCAAACAGAGCCTTTTTCACAGCAGACATTTTGTCTTGTCCATTGTAGGAAAGGTTGCAGTTTGTTACAAGATGAACCATTAACGATGGCACTGTTCAAACTCAAGTGTCCCAGTAAGTCATGGCAGTGTGACATTCAATGTGAAACTGAAGCAGTTAAATGGAATTCGGCCACCATTCATTTATTTATGTGAAGATGTCTTCCATGCAAAAGGCCTATCCACGATCCAAATGTTAACAAAAAGAAAGTATCCACGCTACAAGCAGACAATCAAGAACACAATGAAAACACAAAGGTCTCAGTAACATTTAAGCAGGTTAGTCTGTAAACTGATGTTGTTAAAGGTCCAGTATGTAACATTTATGCAGAAAATGAATATAATATTCAATATAATATTCATAGCATGTTTTTATTAATGTTTAATCTCCTGAAAATAATAATTGTTGTGTTTTCTTTACCTTAGAATGAGCTGTTTTTATCAACAGAGGGAAGCATCAGCTCTTCCACACAGACCGCCATGTTTCTACAGTAGCCCTGAACGGACAAACCAAACACTGGCTCTAGATAGGGCCTTTTGAGTTTTTTTGCAGCCGCCGTAGTTTCTCCTACACACTTCGAAAGCTGAGCTGTATTCAAATGGTTGCAATCTGCCATTTCCCCACTGAATCCTCCACACTAGGATATAAAGGCCAATATGGAGAAATTTTATAGTCTGTGTATTTCTCTTTTTCTTATCTGCTGTGTTAGACATCTGTGGCTGCTGTAACAAGTGCATTTCCCCAGTGTGTGATCAATAAAGTCTATTTTATCTTATCCTATCTTACTACAAGTCAAAATATCTGCTGTGAAAATGATTATTATGTGCCTTAAATGTACATGTTCAAGAATTACACATGATGTCTTTAAGGAGTTGAAGATTTGGTCAATAACTGAAGATCCTTCCCGATATGATAAAACCCATCTTCCCATCTATAAAGGACTGTTAAAAGGGTTAAGACTTGGTATTAGAGTTAAATTTAGGTTTAATGATTCAGGGTTTGGTGAATGTAATATGTCGATGATGTGTATGTTTCTGTGTTTATCTTCAGGACGGTCTGGAAAAAGAAGTCAGGAAAATTGGTGGATTTGATTACCACTTCTGGATCGGCCTGTCTGATATAGAGAAAGAGGGAGACTGGAGATGGGTGGACAACTCAACATTGCAACACAAGTACCGTTTAATTTTAATATTTAATGCATTAAATAATTTATTCATTTATGTTTTGTATTTAAGTTGCTGTCTTTTTAAATATTGCTGATACTGAATAAACTGTGCAGGAAGAACCCAAAGCGTCCAAAGCTAAATAAGCAGCCTATTTTATCATTTGCAAAATCTAAATAAATTTAAAGTTTATTTTAAATAGACACACAATAATGTCCATTCTTGTGTCAAAACCTGCACTTGAGCCTGTTTTTCACATTTGTCAGAATTGTTCACAGTAGTTAATTAAAGCCTACTGTCTATTTCGCTCTCCTCCTCTCTCCCTCTGACACAGATATTGGGATCAGTGGAGCTCAGAGCCAGATAACCACCAGTCAGGAGGGGAACACGGAGAGGACTGTGCCACCTTAAACAGCCACTCAAAGACATGGTTTGATGTTCCTTGTGATTACATTTATAAAAGGATCTGTCAAATGGATGTCATTCAGTTCAACTGAGTCTTCATACAGCTGAAAATACTGCAGAAGGTCTGGAAACTACACAAGGTTGTAGCAGAAAACCCTGAATTTAATGGATAGAAAAGGATGTGACAGAAAATTTAACTTGTACATCTTGTACACCATTGTATTGAGATACCTTGTATTAGAGGAAATAACCAGGGAGTAAGTTGTATTGAATGAGTATGTACGTTTAAGTAAATCTAAAAAGAAAAATATTTCATTAAAAGAGAAGATTTTACACAAGGATGTTTTTTTAACTGAGATTTTAACAATGATGTCAGCTGACCATTTTTGGTGTGTGTCCATTTACAATTAATTAGCCTATTATTGGATTTAGTTTTGAGATCACATGTTAGATCAACCAGGGAAAACTAAAGGTGTTCACTTTGCAGCGTTTAATGCCATGAATGTTGTCACTGTGTCCGAGAAGTTTGATGCATGATTATCACAATTCAAAAATTGAGCTGCAAATTACTTAATAATAATAACACTGTTGCTTCCGTGCACTATAGTTCAGATTTTTGAGACTAAATGTATGCCAATAAAATTGTCTTTTTTATATATCTTACCTTTTTGTGTCTACCTTATTGTACTTACCTACTGACACATTAACCCTTTGAAGTCTGGTCATTGATGTAACTGGAGCCTACTATACAAGAAAAAAAGCAATTCTCAACATTTTTGCATGTGATGACTTAAAATGAAGCCATGTCTGACCACTTGTTACATGATGACTATAGAGCAGAGGTCCCAAACATGGGGGTTGTCCTGACCCCACTAGGGATCGCCAAAGCTTCATAAGGGGTTGCGAGGCGTTCTTGATTTTAAGGCGTGCCAGAAAACTTAAAAAGTATATATATAAGTATATATATATGTGTAGATATAATATCTATATATACACAGTAGGCCTATATCTCTTCATTTGGTTCACTACTGTGAGAAAAAGTAAATATAATTTTTTAAATAAACTGTCTAATAGAAGGCCAAGCATCAGGGATAATAAAATGCTAAATTTGTCAAACAAGTTTCCTGTTAAGTATGTATGATGGTTTAATATATATATATAATAGAGACAGAGAATTGTATAAAAAGTTCCCTAAACAGGAAATATAGTGCTAAATATTCATCCAAATCACTCGTTTTACACAAACTTCTTGCAGTTACTGAATTAACTGTTTAGGTTAATTGTACATTTTTGAATATAATATGAAATATCCATAAAACATGTCACCTAAGCAGGGGGCCATCACTTACTACTAAATGATGGAAAAGGGTTGGGAGCCATTACCTTTGTGTAAAATAAGTGGTGACTTTACCTTCTTGGATTGTTTCTTTAAATTAAAGTGATTGAGAGTTAAAATAGAAAATACAATAAGCAAAGACAAGGCAGAAGACAAATGTGCTCCCTTTAATTGCTCTGTGATCCCCTCACATTTGTTCTCCACAGTTTCAGGTGGTATAAATCACACGGCCGCTAGATGTCGCTGTTCTCACTTATGCCCCTGATACAGACGATGATTGACGGCTCCGTTGGTCCCGCCCACTTCCCCCCGTATTGTCCAATCAGAGACTACGTTGCTTTGTTGTCGTGCGTGTGCTGACAGCGGAACCGAACAATCGTCAGGCTGTCTACTAGAAACCAACAAAACAAGGTACATTTAATCGCACACAGCCTTATTTTGACACTTTCGCAGAGACATGTACACGCATGTCGTATTTCCCGGCTGTTTATACGTTATCGTGGTAAGATTTGAGTCACCAGGACGACTTAAAAATGAACTGAGGCCTAACGTCAGCGGTTGCGTGAAGCCTTGCGGTTAGCGACCGAGCTAACGTGACACATTGAGCTTGAAGAATACCTCACGCATGTTTTAATGAGAATAAGACAAAAACAACCTTGTATCTGGAACAAAGTGCACGTTTTGTACGCAAAGCACTACATCTGGCGTTTGCGTTGGTGTTTGTTGACAGGTAAGGTCATTAGCTTTAATGTTAGCCGGTGGAGCTAACGATAGCATGGAGGAGGAAGACCTTTAACTTATTCTTCATCACAAATTCACATCAGGTATCTCTAAAAGCTACGAAACTCCACTTTAGGGTTTGGTTGATAGCTTTGACATTTAAGTGAGCGCTTTGAACAGAAAACAGTGCTGCATATTGTGGTAAAAACATTGTGTTGATATGATTTTGGCAGATATTCCAGTTGCAATATGATTCGTTATTAGTCTGGGAATTACCATTTTGGCATCAGAAATGTAATTTTCACAGACAAAAACATTGAATTCGTGACATGTTTTGGAGTCTGTACCAAACAAACATGTTCTTATAAATCTTTGTAGGCCAGGGCATCTTTTCAGATCCACAGTGTTTAATTATAATGCTGTTTGTCACACATTTTACAAGTAAGTTAAGATTTGCAGCTTCTGCGATTTGCATATTGCTATTTGGATAATATTTAGATTAATTGTGCAGCCCCCAACGAGTGTCTGTGTCTCTGTTTGAGTACTCAGTGTAGTCGCCTTTCTGTATCTGTAGTTTGTTGTGTATATTTCACTTTCAGAAAGTTTATTTTATGTCTGTTATTGATTATGGACACTTTCTGTTATTGTCATGTTGCCTCATTGATACTTCAGCAGCCTGTTTATCATAAATGACACATTTTGTACCCATCACTGTTCCCTGTATCAAAGGGTTGGATGGATTTCCTCTCATTTCTACTCTCTTTTAAATCCATTAACTACCTAATCTTAGACTTCCCTCTTGTGCTCACTGATGTTGGTTGGTGTTTGGGTTTTATTGTGATTCTTGGACCTATTTTTATTAATTTATTAATTGATTCTATTGTGGGATTGTGTTTGCCTGTTGTTCTCAGGTCTCTCTTGTCTGAATCTCATTGAGGCTGCCTGATTAAATAAAGATTAATAA